CCACCCCAACCTTTTCTCGTTATTTTCACGGCTTTCGTCCACCGATTTCGCACCTTCGGAAAGGAAACGTGCCAAATACTTACACTATAACTATACGCATTACTGCAACCGCCCACAACACAATGTTTAACCATCATAAAAGTTTGTTGTGAAAACAACTTCTTAAAATTCGCTCTCTCAAAAATAAAATAAAATAGACAAAAGAAACGCCGATTAAAAAATGTATATCGTTTAAAAGTACAGTTGTACGTTGAATGACACAGTGATATAAAAGTACGGCCCAGGGGTATGGCTTTCTCTCATATTTTTGCATTTGGTGGCGCACTTTCGGCGAGAGTCGGAAATCCGGAAACAGTCGACCGTTTCAGGATAGGTGGGCGTGGCTACAGCACGGGAAATATCTCAATTTTACTTGGATACGAGTAATCATTTTCAGCAAAAAAATCAATAATTGCCCATTTCAGTGGGGCACAGATCTAAAATGGGAAGCGTGTGGGTGGGCATTGCACAGGCACTTTAAGGAATGGGAGGCAATACATTATGTCAGAACAACACAATGTGTCGAACAAGTTGATACATGATAGTAATTAGTGTAGATTGTCACAGCTTTAGTTCTGAATGTACACAGTTTTGATGGTTCTCTAGAAAATTTCAGAATTTTATATACCCCCAAAATGATTTTCAGATTTTAAGGTTTATTGGGATTCAAACGCAAACAATTGTGGGCATTGTTAGTTTGTAACACAATTCATGGCTGTGTCTGGAGCATTGAGTCTTTGGCACACTCACTCAGGGAGGGGTCGACCCTTTGATGTTCAGCCTAAGCTAGGATTTGAACTTGGGTCTACCGATCATGAGTCTGAAGCGACAACCACCTATGCTACAATTGACCGGTTAACTATATGGAGTTGTTTATATGGAGAGTGTATGTGTTAGTCTGTTCAAACATTGGTGTTGAAACAGCATACTGGATTACTAAACAGGGATTTTTGAAATACCTTCAACGTAAAACTTTTTTGTTGTTGTCATCATGTTAAAAGTAACATTACACATGATTTAATACACCATATTTGTAAAATCGTGTATATACACTTGGATAATATGATATATAAAGTTGTATATTCCAGTTTTTTTGTATATGGGCCAAAAGCTTTAAATTTAAATAAATCTTCTATTTATATTCTAATTAGTATATGCAATCACCTATTGTACTGTTTGAAGCGTAATTGAGCTGCCCATTGTGTTGGTGTAGTCACAGATACTAGTGTTAGGTCACAGAACCATGTCTAGATAATCTAGCAGTAAAATTGCACAGACAAAATGGCACATCAGACATAATAATTTATGTTGGTAATTGTTATATATTAAAATTATCTTTTTATTATGCTAATTACTGTATTCCTCAGGATGCTTTCAGTAAGATGGCCAGACATGGATGAGTTCAAAGCTAGTTTACATATCAAGATTATTTCGATACCTTCCAAAATTGACAAATAAATTATTTAGCTTGTTGAAAAATGTTAGGTGGATCCAGAAATGTAACTGACAGATATATGTCCATTGCATTCAAACAAAGCTAGTCAACCAGAAGCATCTCATTCCAAGTACCCGGTATTAGTGTATTTGCTCTGTTATTAGTAGATTATGTCACATGCGTTTCTGTAAGTAACTAAGGTGTGTCTGTGACCAAAGTTGTATTTCAATGAACCAGTACACAATTACCATACTCGTCTGCTTTAGTGCCCAGTGACCTGAATTCAGAAGATTGTGTTTTTAAAGGGGTGGGCACTTTATAGTCCGGCACTGCTCTCAAATTTTTTTCAAAAGGTCAACTTTTTGCTCACTTGGACTTGTTTGGAAGCATATTATTTGTTTTGATACAGGAAGAGGTGGAATACAACATTGTTTTCTGAAACGAGTTGCGTTGCCATGCAAAAACATTTTTACAATGAACAATTAACTAAAACAAATATTCACAAAAAATATGCACATTTTATTACATTATTGTTTATCCCCAATTTGATTTGACAGTCAAATCAAGCTTGTTATTAATATTTTTGTTGTTGAATGATTTTGTTAGTACACAGTAACTCTACTAGGACGGTTAGGAAGCGCCACGTTGTTCTATTGTACACCTACCCTTGTCTCCATAAACATTGAAACAAAAGAGGTGTTAATGAGCTAAGGAGTCATTAGCATTAAACGGGCGATGGGAAAACACACGATAAATCATGAGACAGTGCGAAGGTTGCCACATTTTTCCCACAAAGCATTGCAATACATGGCACTTTGGCCTTTCACCGAAGAGCAGTCTCAAATGCGGAAATAAACATGCTTTGTATATACACGTTTTTCCCGAGAAAATCTTGCTGTCTTGTATGGCATTCTGAAATTATAAATAGTTAATAGAGTAGCTAGTAGTTAGTAGAGTGACTGTGGTTAGTATGATAATTTTCTATGCAAAGCAATTTCGACCATAATGTTTCACTGACTGATTTGACCTGCGACAACATCCTTTGACCTGATAAGTCAAGTCTGTTATTAACCAATCAGAATCGGAGTTAGGCTCATATTGATGCAATTTTTTAGGAATTCCTGAATATTGATGATGACATTGTTGGAAAGGAATGAGTGATGTTGTAATGTTTCCCGTTTACATTGATTTTGACGAAAAAAAGCAGAGTACAATAGTGGAACACCGCTTGATTGTTCTGATTGGCAATACAGCATATAACTACAAGTTCTTTGGTCGAATTACTGGTAATCATCCTGCAGAAACACAACTACCCAACAACTTATGTGAAGCTACTTTCTGGATTTCTAATAGATGAATCATATTTTGAAACAAAAACGTCTTAGTCCTATTTAAAATATAGATACACACATTGAGGCAGAATAAGTTTCCATTCCCTTTGTTTTTTTACATTTGTTTATGGTTGCCTCACAAATATGTTACAAATTGTAAATTTTGTGAACCACAAAATTTAAATATTTCTATTTGCATTTTTCCACAGTTTCAAAGTGACACACTGAAAAAATGTATTCCAGACGAAATCACCACACAAGAACCTGCAATCAAGCTGAAGGTAATTATTTCTACTACTACCGGGTACTTCTATTTTATAATGTCTTAGTAAAGTGAACCATCTGCATCTGCTGTTTTGCTTTTCAGATATTGTAGTGTTTGTGTGTTCTATATTCTTTGTAATATCACAGTACTACATTCATGACTAAATTTTGCATCAAATGGTGGAATTGGTAATTGATATTCAGTTTTATCATATAATGGACAATGAGTTTGTCATGATGAAATGCCTTCAGCAAAACTGCCTTCTTAGACATGATTGAGGAGTCTCTATCTCGCGGTCTAGCTATGACACTCCAATTCTATATCCCAGATGTTATCTCTATTGCCCACATAGCTTGACTCCTTACGAATTTCCTTCCACCCACTTGTTTTTAATTTTCATATGACCTTTGCACTGATCCTGATAACCAATTACATTTGACTACAGACGTCGCTCATGGCATACAACTGAATTAATTAATACACCATATATAACAGGTGAATTCAACATTGTTGATGTTTTTTGTTACTTTTCCAAACTCACACAAAATGAGTTCATATTGTGTTATTGTGTTTCACATTAGAAATTGTAAAATTAACAAGCACTCCTCAACGTGATGCTTTTGTTGATAGTTTTGTGGTATGTTGCAAAACATATATACGATTTGGACTAAACATAGCAGTATTCTTGGTATTGGGAAGGAAACGACTACATTGTCACATCTACATGTACATGTATGTCTGGTTAACATTCAAGTTAAGCGCAGTGCCATCGTTTGACACTTTCGGACACTTTCGTGAGCTCTGTGTAAACATACTACAGTGGTGAGTGGATGGCCGAATAAACAAACCTTTGCTGGCAGAGTATAAATTTCAAAAGAACGTTTGATACTTTGCTGTGATGACCGTTCACATGTACTAGGCAACGTTACTAATTATTACTAGGGTCGATGTTTACATTAGGAATTATAGAACAAATATTCAACAAAGTTGTGATTTTTTCAGCGACTTTGTTAGAGGGAATTGATAAAATTATAAATTGGGTGAAAAATTGCAAGGGCGTCATTCTCAGCAATGGCAAGTGGCAATACCTGATAAACACTGTCACATTGCATTTGTGCACTAGTACACCAAAGAAATATGTACCTATTGTTGCCCATGACTGTTGCAGATTGTATTCATGCAGATTTCATGTTTGTGGACTTATTCAAGCCAGGGAAATCAAAAGAGATAACTTCTGAAATTCATTTTTCCAATTTGACCCAGTGTGTCATTGGGAAGGAACCATCTCTGCATTTGTCACATATGACTATGTTTACTAAAATAGGATGGGTGATTGATTAACAACCAGCTCATTAGTATTCCACCAATCACAACTACTGATACATCAATTTTTTGAATGTTGCATTATAATTGTATAGGAGTCAAGCTGGAGTCTCGTGTGGGTGATAGCGATGACATTGAGACAAATATTCTGGGGTACTGATTCTAAGTCGAGTATCGGTAATCATATTTTAACATAGAGACTATTAGCTAGCTGTCGATAACTATGTCTGATTACAAAGTTATGATTAATTAGGCCTATTTTATCAGTGTTTAAATGCATTACTTGTATCTGCCAACAGAAGAAATGTAAACAAAATTTGTGTCTTATTTGCAGGAATTACGTAAATTGATAGAAAGGAAGTACTTCAGTGATGCACTGGATAGATCATGTAATATGCACACAGCTGATTACAATGTGAATGTCCTCTCCAAGGCCTTGTTGTTACTGGAACATAAACTTCTCAGGTATGTTTGATTTACTCTCAACTTTCAGTCATAAAATACCTGAGATGCAGCAGAAGCACACTCAAATGTATCTATACATATCTTCAAAATATATATTACAGTTTCATCAAAGTTTTATAAATTTACTGATTCTTTTTGAGAAGATTATGTTGTACATACATATATATTGTACTAAGGAAGTATTATTGCATAACGTTACTTTTGTATTCTGTTTAGTTTTCCTGAATTAAATGATGTAAGAATAGCATATGAGGCTTATGAAGGAGGTGACATGAAAGGAATGATTATAGATGAATATACGTTACTTAGAACATTAAAGGTAAAACATCTTGTACTTTCCATCATAGTTATCTTACCTATGTTTCGTTACAATCGATTTTATATTAACCTAAACAAGACATTTCTGATAATGTGATGTTCCAATAAATGATGTGCTGCATTTTATTCCCACTTTCTATTCAATTATTTGTTTCTGGAAAAAGAAAAACCTAAAGCCTTTCAATTATTGTGTATTGATGACTAGAAACAAGTTTTTTTGGTTGGCCCATAATGGACTTGGTTTAACAAACCAAAAACGCCCTCAGTGTTGATATATTAAAAATCTTTCTTGTCCCTAGGTGGCGCTCTTCACTGCATGCCAGTGTCTTTATAAATGACAAGGAAAAATGAAAGTGTATCTACATAAATTTGTTAGATGTAAATATCTGAATTTAACTTAGTGTGACTTTGCTTTCTTTGCTTATAAGATGTGTGGTCGAGTGGTGGCACCTATGAAGTTGATGCATCGTGTCAAACACATGAAATCAGATTTTGATGAGAAAGGAAGGATTCAGTATTATGAATTTTTAGACTTATTGGTGCTGTAAGTATGAAATATTATATAATAATAGTAATAATAATTACTTGTATTGCGCTATTTACTGTAATAACTGATTGATCAGGGCACATTACAAAAAAAGAATAATTGCAGAATACTTATATGCTGTTTAAACAAATAAGTTTTCAAATGTACCTTGAAATCATTAATATATATATAATGAATGAACTTAACCTTAATTTTTTGTAAAATAATACTGAAGAAAATTACTTCATTTCAGAGGTAGTTGACTGGAGTTGGGGTAGAGTGGTGTATAAATATGTCCTATACAGCCATGGCTGGTACATGTGAATAATTTAGTTCGTGTTTATTGTAGATGTGAATATTGCAATAATGTCTCACTTGACGACTTCAAAGAGGAAGCAGTGAAAAAAAACTGGAGGCACCTATTTAAGGTATATTATATACATAATTAAAAAATGTTGTTTGTCTTATTCAACTTACTTTCTCGCATAAAATTAATCTGTGTTGAATCTTTAGTTTTGTTTTCTCATCATAAACAAACGTAATGCTGTTTCTATTCTGTTGATTTTGGAATTAGTGGTTTATTAGTCATTTTATCACAGTTAACTTGCAATTCCAAACCTTGTAAATGTAATTTAAAGCGTGGTAGTCGCTGCTGCGCATGTGCAAGATATATGGGTCTCATATATACAAAGATGGCGACTTTGACTGTTGCACAGATCAACGAGTACGAACTGAGATGTTTCCAAGCTTTAATTAAGTAATTTTCATGTTATTGGAAGGTATCAAAGTAGTCACCGGCGGTAATAAGTGCAAGTCGCGCCCAGGTCAAACCTCATACTTGTGATTTCCATTAAAAGAGCGCATTGTATTGTGGGAAAATCAATGTTTATCAAAACAAATGTGGCACACGCGACGACTACCACGCTTTAATGGCTTTTCTTCCATTCTGATATGCGTGTTTGTTTTGTAATAATTGATACAATACTTGATATAACTCATGGTTCATGTGTATATCTATATTGTGTGCATTCTTTTGTTTGTCATGATTTCCATTAAAATATAGTAAAAAATTTACATTGTATATTTGCATGATACTAGTTTACTTATGTGTGTCCATATACACAAAATGTATGATGGACATTATTGATTTGATATTCATGATTATTTGAGATATCACTAATCCAAGTCTGTAGTGAGGTGTCCTGAAATCAGTATTTCTATATAGTTCTTGTGGATGTGGATTATACAAAGCTCTTGATTAATTGTTTTCAGATGGATGACTTCAACCCACTTTTTGTGACAGGGGATGAGAAAGTACATGAATACCTAAATCAAACATTTAAAGATACTGAACTTAATTATGGTAAGACACACCATGGTGACAAGAAACTGCCAAAGGAGAATTCCGTCAATATAGAGGCAAGAAAACAACAAGTAAGTTAATTAAGGTAGTTGGCTAAAATTCAAACAATTTTTTTAGACTTTTACAATATGGCTTTATTCTGTTCTGTTGTTCACAAAACCCAATTACAAATATTTGGTCACCAAACTATTGCCATTGCTTCCTGTAGTAAAAGGTTCACACCATCTCAAAATATTGTTTTGTTGTTATTTTAGAAACAGAAATTTGGTCATTAATGGTTAATAATTCCTGGTTAATAACTTCATACATACAATAAACATCATGGTACCTAGATTGTTCTGATTCTGATATCTCTGTCACCCATGTATCATTTTCATTGATATTTAGCATGTCATAAATGGATACATGTACATGTCAATTCAGTTTGCATTTTGATCAAAATATGGCCAACTGGTGGCCATCTTATTTGTTCAAAATGTGATAACTTGGACATGCTCAGACATTTTTTAATCGGGCCTATGCCTAGCTTACTCTTAATGTTGGTGTCTTTTTTGACATGCCAGTTATTCTGACCTACTCTGCTTTCATTCACCCTCAGGGGTGATTCACATTGATGCTACTGTTTGATTCGCCAATTACATGTCTCATTGCATTTGTCACAGCGAGCAAGCGCCTTTTGCATATCTGAGATTGCTTTTCACCTCTCAGATTTGGTTATGGGGATATGGACATTTTACACAAATAAACTTACGAACTACCCCCCCCCCCCTCCGGTGAGTTCTTTTAATTTTATGATGTAGATGGGCAAGTGTAATTTACAGATAGATCACTATAGTTTGACACCCCTGCCATGTGAATTTTAATTAGAGGCATGACGAATGTTAAATTTTTGCAAATTTTAAGACACTGCCTTCATCATATTATTCAACACAAGAGTTAGCCACTTTAGTCCAAAATTAACAATACAATTAAAAAGAGCTGCAATTGCTGTATTTCCTATCCCAGAATCTCAAATTCGGTCATTACACATATGTTAACATTGTAAGCCCCATGTAAAGATTTATTGTAGGGCACCATGGCAACAAACATTCATATTCATGAGATGTATGGTAATGTAATTTTTGTGCCTCATTCCGATCCTCAGACTTGCATTTTCTGAAAAAATTTTAGCAAGTGCAATAACATAGACATGCACCTCAATTTGTTTTGCTTTCACTTTTCTATGTTTTTCTTGGCTATGTCTTAAACCGGAGGGTTTGTCACGCAAAACACAGGTTCAAATTTGATGTAAATAAACAATCTGTTGTATTTGCCAGTTGGGACTCAAGTTTCAAGGACATGCTCGCGACAACCCCTCCGCTTTAATATGACGAGCACAAAGAGAACTTTCAAAAATTTAACGGGGACTGTGTCATTTTCAATGACTTGTTGAAACTATATTTTGCCTTGGAACTAATGAACAACTAACTAATGACACATTGTGAATCCGATTTGAATAAGTGGCTAGTCACTGTTGCTATGTCACATGAAAGAATAAGTGCACATTTTGGGCGTAGACACTAAATAGCTTTTGTGCCAATCAATATTAAATATTTGAATTAAAGCTTCTGATCTGTATTTACAAATTGTTATAAATACATTTATAGGGTAAGGTACAGCTTTATGCCCTTCACTGTTAGGCTCATGCATTTGTTTCACAATCCAATTTTACTATTGAAAATGCATCAAAATCTAGCATTTCTGTCATTCTAAACCTGGATCTCAGTCATACATAGCTATTGTTCAAACATGGAACATAGATTATTGAACATACTGGAACCGGTCGTGTCATTTTTCAGTTTTAGTTCAGGGGAAGTCAAGCCAAATAACATAATTCTCTCCTAGGAAAGAGCTCCACAAGTTCAAGTCAAGCCTACGCCACAAAATCTTCCAAACATTGCCAGCAACCAATCACAGACTACCTTAGACAATAGCAGCTTTCCCTGACGATAATACTTAGCAACGTTATTTCCCGCACGCTAACTTGTAAAATCTTTTTTTTTGTCTCGTTTACGTTTCCGGCCCATCTTAGAGAATGTGGGAGAATGCAATTTACAGTGTTTGTATATCACTTTTCTTTCTCTAGATATTCAACTTTTCACAATATTATGTAATTCGCCATCTTGATTCTCCAGCAACGGATTGTGGGTAAAGTGTGACATCATATCCACTGGTGTGAAAAATTATAACGTGAGAAATACTGATGCGAATTTGTTAAAATTTTTGGTGTGCATGATATAACTCATGTAGATCATTATAGTAATGGAAATTATAGTGTTACAAATACACATAAGTGAAGATATTGCCACAAACGTGAAAAAATAAAAATCATTATTTTAGTTGTCAAAAATAGAATGACACTTTTTAGTCTCCTGTTTGCGGTCAACAGGTTATATATCACCTATATAACCTACTCACATCAATAAATTGTATACAATATAAGGAAATTTGAGCATTTGGTAGAAAAACACAAAAATGAATATTTTCAGTACTGTTGCCATGACAACTGTTTTATAGACATGTTTGGCACCAGTACATGTATGCTACCATGTTCAAAACTTTCAGCCAATTTGAAATTATAGATGAAATCATTTTCTCAATTTCTGACAACAGTGGATATGTCATACTTTACCCATAATCCTTTGCTGAAGAACCATGATAGTGGACTACATAACACTGGTGAAAAGTTGAATATCTAGAGAATGAAAAGTTATATAAATAAACTGTAAATTGCATGTCCTTACATTTGCCGAGCTCTTTCATCTGGGAGTATTATGTTGTTAGCCTTGTCTTTTCCTTTAAGAATGGCTGATTGACAAAAAAATTTGTATTACCGGTACGGAATACAGTTTAGAGCCGTGTCTCTGACATTCCTTGACTTATTGCAATCAAACTTCACATTGTACATTATGTTATACTTGCATTTATTTCAAATTTGATTCAGAATATTTGATTTATTTCATTATTTTTTACTATTGAATAACGGGAACTCTGTCATGTTACAACATATAATTTCTTATATTTTAAAAATGTTGTTTCCAGCAAGTTGTTTTATTATCTTGAATAGATTCCTGTAAAATAAGAACATGTTTTCATGAAAAATTGTATCTGTTACCGGTACTCCAAATGATTATTCGATAAATAAATTTGTATACCAATGACTAGTCTGTTCACAGAGTATCAGCAAATTCCTAAAATTTTAATGTAACTGTATCAACCATTCTTAATTAACCTTTTTCTGTAATCAAATCTCAGTATTTGTGCAAGCTTAATATTTGTTCAGTCATATCTCTTAGTAACAGATTATTATCATAATGTTGATTCAAGGCAGTGCATGTCTGTATTTGATTAATTTTGTACATTGTAAAAAAAAATACGAAAGTGATATAACCTTACTTTCCAATCATTTTTTTAATAAAAAAAGCCCAAAATAGATTTTTATTTGTTTTAAAGTTAAGCACATCAGGTTCTTAATCAAAAATCAATTGATTTCCCAAAATAGTTTAATATGTTACTCAGACAACCATGTTTTATGTATTGATATAGCAGACGCTCTTAATTTCTTTTTTATGGAGACTGTCGTATTATGGTCCAGCAAAATACTTAGATCATTAAATTTTTATTTCTGCTTCCAGACTTAACAGGACTTTAAAAGTGAATTGCATTTTCTGTGTAGTTTAATGTGTAGAAAATTGATTGGTATAATCTAATAGAATAACGCAGCATATAAATGGTCATACCGGGTACGTTTATTAGGGAATATGAAAAGGTGTATATCAAAAGCTTGAGGCTGACTATACCTTAGTTGCCATGACAACACACTCCCATCATTCAATGCATTTTTAAGGGCCATCACGGCACGTTAGATGTACATTTACATGGTTTAGTTCTGAATGTACAGTGTACAGCTATTAAAAGCTGTAAACTAATACCAGTATGGAATTATTGAAAAAAAAAAATTCTTTGTTTGTTGTGGGTGTGTTTTATATTAACAACCCACTTCATTTTCTTTTATTAAGCCGTGTTAACCATGCCATTAGGTGCCTGAATAAGCTGTAAACTCCCTCCATTTACATGTTCATGTCCTCTGATCACAACATTATTTATGATCATTAACTAGAGCTGTTTTAGATTTATTAACTTGCTACCTGCTATGTTTATGTTAATATTCACCCAGAATCCCATGAATACTGCATCAGGTATGATTTGTGTAAATTTCATCTACCCCTTGGTACCTACCTAAAGTCAGGTTTTGTTTTATTGGTCCATCAAAGTTAACATTGACCTGTTATCAAGGCTATACAACTTTCTTTCATGGCAGTTTTTTTGTTCGGATTTGATCTTGGATTTCAAAGTGTGGTCAAGTTTTTTTATATACCGGTAGTGCCATTGGGAATTCAGGTTACGGATACCAATGGAAAGGGTAAATGGTGTGAAAAAGTATTCTTTGTTAAGTTTTTATCATTTGCAATATGGCATGTTATTTTGTAGGTTGGTGTGTAAAAACTACAACTACTTAGATGCTATCCTCTTAAACATAATATTGAACTGGTTCATATTTTAGACCATGCATTGATGGGGGTGGGGGTGGGGGTGGAGTAAGGGTGTTGTGAAAATATATCAGACATATCTCCAGATCTAATTTTGCTATGCATATCAAGATTCATTTTGTCACTTTATAGGTTGAGTTTCACGGTCAGCGTTATAGAGAACTACACCAATATATAGATGAATCATCTGCACAAGTTAAGAAGTCTAAAGCTGGTACAATTACATCACGACCAACATCAGCACCGGTAGTACAAAGATTTCTCACACCAGTATTTACAGTCAAGGTTGAAAAAAGGCCCCATACAGTAGATGCGGTATGATCTCGTTTTATTTTATCATCACCTTGGCCAATTATTATGATACCTAAACAACTTAACAAGGATATGAGGTTATTATAAGTTAAGTGAAAAAATAAATAAAGATGCAGTCATGGGAACTATTTTTAAGTAACATTGTACTTGCCATTATGCATACATTTGTCTCCCCTAGACGACCTGGGTATGGCCTCATTTTCATAATTTTACATGTAACTTGTTACCTAATTGAATTGTTAATACCTGTCATACTTTATATCTGAGTTAATATGTCTTTTTTGTTTATTCATGAAGATAAACTACAACCCAGATGTTCATAGATTGAGAAATCAAGTCAATCCACCGAGGAGAAAAACTCGTCCAGTCTCTGCACCTGCTGGCTCATCTACCAGTTTAGAATTCCATCACCCATCTGAGGTATTAAGTTATTAAATATATCTATCAAATTTAGAGTAGTTGTGTAGGGGCTGACAGATGTAGTAAACAATTTTACATAGTTTTTATTATTTTTCTCTCTTCATATTTTATAATTGCCAATAGTTAATTAATTGATGTTCACTAATTCTTATCTTAGGTAATGGCTGTTGATGAGAAAAAGATGAAGTACATGAGATACTCAAGTCATAAAGGGAGGCAGAGTAAGTAAAATTGTTTTAGATTTGGTGCTTTCCACTCTTTGAAATTAGAAAACTAGAAAAGATATGCAATGGACTAATTATTTGATGTTATGTGTTTATTTACAGATATTTGCTCAGCACCATCAGGACTCTATGTCGGAAGTACTGAAGCCCCAATGTCTGTACATGTTAACATACCCCATTCCAAACCCCACCCTCCCAGCATGCAGTGGTGTTCCAGCGAGTTAACTGCCTCCCACAATGCATCAGCCCAACCATGGAGAAAAAGCTTACCATATAAGAGACCCAGTACCCCCAAATGTATCACTGCAAAAGAAACGGACACTCACCAGGATCTAGTCAGCTGTTTACAGTTTGACATAGACACACTGGTAAGCTCATAATCTTTTTTTCCAATTCTTTGTAAAATTGCAACCATTATTATTAATACCCCAAAATCTGTGCTTGTTCATTGCTACATAAAGGTATGTGCTCTATGTATGTGCATGTGTGGTGTATGTGAGATTTATAGTTGTAATTTCTGCTTCATGAGAAAAAACAAATTCTGTTGGAACGTATGCCTGTGTTATTTTACAATTAAATTCTGGGCTGTATTTCTGGGTATAATATGTAACCGTTTACTGTTGAATTATTATAAAAAACTTGTGTATGAATGAATATCTTGAACATTCTCAGCTTTTTCACTCTTAGAACATTGATTAGTAACTATAATACAATATTCTTTTGCCTAAATTTTGTAACTAAAATGTCATCTTTTGAAATGTTGACTCATGTTTTCTTTTCAATATCTTAAAATTACGTCATTTGCCCTTTTGTGAAATAATCCATTACCCTGGCTACCACAAAGCATCCATGTATTCATTTATTCTATTTGGCTATACAGTCAATCATGGTATAGCAATCTTCATAAAAATAGAGCAGACGTAACCTACGTTCAGCTTGTAAAACAGTTTAAATGTAGATACCATGTGCAGATAATAAGGATTCTATAAATGCATCTATGTTGTAGCAATATGGCTTTGTCCTAATTTGTTGAAGGGAGTTTACTGCCTGAACCAACAGCTTACAACTGCTTTTTCACAAAATGCTTAAGTGAAGTACTTTATAAAGGATGCTATTTAAAAGGTAGTTCAACTGTGGAACGTAATATGACTTGCACGCTCTACTGGCACCTTAAGTGACATTAATTGCCAATTTTTATTTTGAAAATCCTGCTGTAAAGTATTTTTGCCTCTGGCACAATCAATCAACCCAAGGCTGTATACTACCATAATTTTTCATTGTGTTTACAGCATGTAAATTATTATCCAATTGGATAATGGCCAATCCCCTTTCACAGTATCATTTTCTCCATATAATTGTTTCAAAAGTGTTGATTAGACAAAGACATTGGGAATTTATGTAACATTTACCGGTAGTTCAAAAATAACAAAGAAATTATTGAAGAACAAATAAAAATTGTTGCACTAAAATTTTGGCAGGGAAAATTACGATGTTTAATGGGAAAATTCAGTACTTTACCACTTAATTGTCACAAGATTCAATTTTTCAGGGAAAACCTTGAAATTTTCCAGTAGTGAAAATTTCCCTGAGATGCTTTGAGTTAGTTATCAGTAACTTTTTCTTCACAAATGCCATAGGAACAAATTTCTATGAATGAAAGCGGATTACAGAATGCTAGATGGACACTCATATTTGAAAGTAAATTGGCATCCCAAACAACAAACACAATTAGTCCCTTAGATATATGTTGAATTTGCTTTGCTGAAAAGTCTGAAAGCGGGAAAATGTGTCATCAAATCTCCCAGTGAGCGCCCCATTATTCAGTGAAATCTATCTGTGTTGTATTGTTTTTCATTGAAATCTAAATCATATTTACTCAATTTTTTTTTTGAGAAATTACACATACGTTCCAAAGCACAAACTTGTGATCATAAATACTTAAATAATTTCTAATTTCTTATCAGTTTCAATTCTTTGTTTTCATTCTACTGGTGTGATGCTTGCCATGTTCTAAAAAATGTAAATAATTTTTTTAAGACTCAAGTTTCTGCAAGCTGTCCCTTCAACTACCCTCCCCCCACAGTATTAATCAAGACCGTGTTGGGAAGTATGCTTTTATATGTGGCTCCTTATATTGAGTAAAGTGAAAGTGTTTGGTACTTTAGCCATTACGTGGCCATTATTTGTCTAATTCTTTATATGCTTGTCATGAATTTAAAAATAAAATAAAGACACAAATATGGAACAGTATTTTTATCACCTAATAACATGCCATAACAAGGTTATGTATGGCATATACTCACTTTAATTCTCATTGGCCAATTCAAGACGGCCATGGTACAAGACTTAAAGTAATTCACCTTCATCATTTCCGTTAGTGGGTATATGCTTCTACTAATTTAAATTGATTTACTGACTCACGTCACACTATTTGCCTCCCTACCTAAATTGCCAGGCATGTATTAAATGGTGAGATATAAATAAACTTATTGTTAGCTGAAGAGGGATACGCACGGCATGTTTTCCACAGCAACCACATTATATCCATTTCAACCAAGTAGATAATGACGTTGAATGTGGATTGATTACTCACTTTTTTGTGCCTAGTAAACTGGCTTTTTATTCATTTCTTAATTTAACATTTACACAAAGGTTAGCCAGTCCATTGAGTTTTATTGACAATTAGAAATAGATTACAATACAGGTGCTATTTCTCAGCCATTCTAATGTCATTCAAAGCCTAATGTTCAGTTTGGGGAGTGTCGTTGCCATATAGTATATCACCGTTGCTGTGTTCATGTTAGTACGCTCCCTGCTGCCGCTCATCTTGTAGGGAATTTAAATCCATCAATTTTTCCTGGATGGATTACTATTCTTCGCTGCTAATGTAAGTTTCTTTTCCAGTCTTTGATTTTTATTCCTCCATTTGAGTTCTATTTATCAAGCATCTAATTGCATACATGGTAATTGTTACATCACTGGGAGAAAGAACTTGAAATCAAGTATTCCACTTTAGAATTAAAATTGAAGAATTGCCTTAATTATATATCCTGCAACAAAACCTGACGGCTTATGTAGGTTTAATCAATCATTTGTATTTCAATTAAGTTTGCTTTACCTTCACAGTGAATGGTTATTCATAGGCATGTAGTCAACAGGGTTTAATTACACTTTTGACATTGTTGAACTGAATAGTGCTTGAAAATTTCACTGAAATCTTTATATTTATAATCAGCAATTTATTTACAATGTAGTGGTTATTATAATTTTGTTCCACATATTTTGTCTTTGGACTGTCATCATGCTTGATATATATATGTGTTCCATGTTAACATGGAATTTGAACAAGGGCTGCACAATAATTTACGGCGTTTAAATACAAATGTCTGATTTATACAACACCAAGACAGCTCTTCGCTGGACACCACAAGGAAAATGACCAAGGGGCAGGCCGAAGAACACCTGGCGGAGAACCATTGAGCAAGAACTCAGGGAAATGGGTTTAACATGGGGAGAGGCAGAAACCAGGGCTAAAAAACGTGTTGAGTGGAGGGATCTTGTGTTAACCTTATGTTCCGGTGGCAGCGACAAGTCAAATTTAATTCCACACATATTAGCAGAGTGCACAGCTTCTTTCTTATAACCTTTTTCCCACCAGATTTTCCCACCCGAATTATTGTGCACCTTTTTTTTTTTTTTATTCTTTCAATTTTCAGTTTTTACTCAAAAAATTTGTCTATTTTTGTCCCAATGATGAAAAGAGGGAATTGGTGGTGAAAATGTTAAATAGCCCATTCTGCATATTTTCAGTAATATACTAGTACCGGTAGGCCCAATTAAGTCACAAAAAAACTGTCAGTATATTTTTTATTTAAATGATATGAATTGTTGCTGTTGAAAAAACATATAAATTGTATCGTGTATATGTGTATTGTAATGTTTCTTGAAAAGGTCATTCATTGTAAGTTGTTGTCACAAATCCTAATAATTTTGTAATATTTCAAAAAAAGACAATGTGATAATATTTAGTTTGGATGAAGTCTGAAAGCGTGAACTGTGTATCCATCCATCTGTCCGCACCTATATCTCAGACAATGCTTGAATTGATATACGTCATACAAATTGAGATACATATGTACACGCATTTGTTTCGTGATCTGATTCAAAATGGCCTTATGGCAGTCACATATTTAGCACTAAAGATTCATCAAAATCAAACATTTCTGCCAGAGCTCAGCCATTTTCTTTTGCATTCTCAGTAGATACAAAATGTGTAAAGCTAGCCATTGATGTTTGTATATACATTGAGGCTTGACAGTTTGAATCCATCCAGTGTTGATAAAGCCGAGCAAATGTTGGCAATTCAGAATTTTTTTTTTTTATTATTCTAAAACGAAAACAAGTACAATTCATTGTTCAGTTTGTGACATAATTGTTGAAATTATTTGTGTTTGACTGTTTTATTTCAAGTTGTACTCTTTTAAACTACAATCAGTTTAAATTTCCCTGGACTGATCATGATAGTATCAAATAGTACCAGTGCTACAAACTGTATAATTTTTACAGTACCACTTGTGGATCATCAACTAGTTAAGAGATTTTTATAAGATAATTGTACAAGTATAGATAGTACTTGCTCAGTGTATATTGGATATGAGTGTAATTACAAACATGTAATCGCCAGTCCAATGTGATATATGCTGCCTATATTATTTACTACTTGCAAGAATAGCTCAGATGTATGAAATGAGCATTTGATACCAGTACATTGAAATGCACACCGTATATCTGTGTGTTTACCTATCCTCATTTATCATTGTGTGGCGTATACCAACAAGCCTTGTAATAGATACTGATTTAATGGATGTAATATGTGAGTAGCATACGTTTAATGTTTGTTGTCATACATGCACAAGTAGCAGTCGGTTTGCATGGATGTGTGTAATGATGTTAAATTCATTCTTCCATTTATGGGTGTATTATTTCATTTCAGGTTATTTTTTCCTGAAAATGTTAATTTATTATCATTTATATGCACGAATTATGCTTTCTAAACATTTGTAACCAATTCTTGTAACACTGCACCATGTCCACTCATCATGGCAGCAATGCAACTCCTTATTCATTGGTACATGCTAATAACCTATGGGGTTAAATGTCATTAGTGTGATTCTTTCTCACCATATGCTAATGCTGAATGGATATTTGTTGTTGCTATTTTACTTACAGAAAGAAAGATCTGTGAAAAGATTGAATGAAGATATAGACGATACCTTGCCGTTGTTTAGGTTCAAACGAGAAGAAAGACTTAAAAATCAGAAACCACCACTGCCACCCAAAAAGGTACCAATTTATATTTATTCAATGTTTTTATTGGGTGTTTTATGTTTAACCTTTTCACCACCAGTTCACTCTTTTCATTACAAATTCACAAAATAGTCCCGTTTATATTTTAAAATAGCTACATTTTTTGGAGTAAAAACTGAAGATTGACTAAAATTTTGTCTATTGGCACCAAACTTAGTGTTCGTTTCCAGAAATATTGAAGGACATATAAGAAAAAAGTGCAGACAATTTGGACGAAAACGTCTGGTGGTGAAAAGATTCAATGTATATGTGTTCAAAAAGATTCTCTTCAAACTTTAGTGCATTTTTTTTATTTACAACAGCTTACTAGAGATATATTATTGTATTTTCATTGTAAGCTCCATTGTCATCATACATCATCTATTTTTACCAAATTTAAAACTTACAGACAAATGCAGAAAATGAAATTAGCTAAAGAAGCAAAAATTAAGGCCTTATAACTGTCCGGTATCCAGTGTGTATAGTGCATAGCACAAATAACTTCATTGGACCCCATTGCACAATCACTGCTTACTATTCAGCCATCCACCATATCCGTCCGTGATCACCTGTATCTCGAACATGCATGGACCGATTAAGTTCAAACTTCACTCATACATCACACATTATATAGGACATATGCACATGCATTTTTTTCATGATCTGATTAACGATAGCCGAATAGCGGCCATTTTAAGGCCAAAAATGCATCAAAATCGCACATTTTCACCATTCCGGACCCGGATCTCAGTTATGCATGGACGGATTTTGTTCAAATTTGGTACAAACATTAAACATAATAGGACCTTGATGCACGTCATTTTTTTCAGATCAAGTTCGAAATGGCCGACTGGCGGCCATTTTGTTTTAAAGAATTCAGTTCTGGATCCGTATCCGAGACATGTCTGGATTGATCAAGTTCAAACTTCATACACACATGAAAGTGGTCTGGGATTTCGGTCATAATCTGCTTTGAATGTATATGTCACTCAAATATGAACGGAACGGGGACGTGTCATTGACAATGACTTGTTCATTTTGTGATGATATTTTTATTTCTCTAATTTGGTGAATATTTTTGTCATTTTTGATAAAAAGTGATATTTTCGACTTCTTGTTAAAAACAGCAAGTCTGATTGCTTTGATACTATACACATAGTGTTCATTTTCTAATGATATCTGCAGTTCTTTAATTGAAATGTGTATTGCTATCTCGGCCAACAGACTGCTTGTTTTTTCACTTGCCAGAAATGCTGAATTATGTCTTTAATTAAAATTGATGGCTCAATTAAATTGTAAAAATGTCCCCTGATATTTTGAAATAGTATATTAATAAAAGAACTATTTTATTTTAACTGTACAGTACAGTGCAGTGATTTATTATATTGTTTTGATCAGTCTACATAATTCAGGATTACAATGTTATTAATCAGTATATCATTACATTTCTATGTGACACAACAATAATAATGCCTTTATGAATCTGTACAAGACTTTTCATAAACGACAACAATTACGATTATCATCCCCCATTTACCTAGGCTATGATTATTTGTTCATTCAAATGGACGTCTGAGTGATTTTAGTTTCCATGGCAACAAGCAGAGAATAACATTTTCCATTATATTTGGTTACTAAGTAAATGCAGTGAATACCATGTGCATAATGCTATAGACTTAATATCAAATTTCTGTGAATATATCATAGTATTAATTAGAGCACTTTTTAAAACGTCATGAGCCTGCTAACAATATGACAAGTTTAGTTTTTAAAATAATAATAACAATTATTGTGAATTAATAATATATTGATCATTTTGATTGAAATCATTAAAAACAGGTAATACCTGCCTGTTTATTGCTGGTCGTTTAATAAATAATCGTATTACAGTCTAATTCTGAAAAGCAGACAATTTAAGATGAAATCAATATATTGCAATCAGAGTATATATGGGCCTGCATGGTTTCAGTCTGCTTGTTCAAATGATATCATTTCCCCTGTTGGGAGTCCTTAGTAAAGCTGTAAATCGACTGTGTAAAATCATTTCCTGTCTGTATCAGACTCATTTTGCTGTTTTGATGTATTGCAGTATAGTATTTTTAATACTTTTCCTGTTAAATCTTATTAACTATCGATTCATGGAAATGTATTCTGCAATCTTTGCGCATGTTTTCGGATTTGTCTTTTTAAAAATGATCATCTTTTGTTGAGTATTATTATCTTCTTGGTTTTTGAAATTCCGTTTCATTGTTTGTAATCATTCAATTTATAATGTAATAATCATTTAATTCTATGCCTGTTTATTTATTATTCTTTATTTTTAGGTCAGACAAAAAAAACAGGAAGCCCTTACAGACGAGCAGATCAAAAGACTGACTTACCCTCAGCCGAGGGCTTTTATGGCTGAACATGAAAAACACTGTGATGCCAGAGCTTATGGTATAGGACAATCAACACAAAACATCAAACGAGAACGCCAAACTCCAGCGAGAAAAAATTGTGATCTCAGTAATTCCAAAGAACAGACAAAATTAGTAATTCAGTATACGAAAGATCGTCATAATTGTGAAAGATTGCCAAATGGATGTGGAGATACAAAGCCTATATATATTGACAAATTGAATGGATATTATACTGAATCAAAGGTGACTCCTTTTAATTTAAACAACATGGAACATGATAAATATCGAGCAGCCCGTGTCGGGACTGCTGCTTTGCTCTATGAGTTTCTCATGGAAAAGAAAGGGAAAGAACAAGAGGAGAAAGAAGAAGAGAATCACACAGAAGAAGAAGAAGAATTGCCAAAAGAAGAAGATCTGAAATTTGAATCAGAAGCTAAACGTCATATGGGAATCGGTGTACTCGGTAAACGGCTAAGCACTATTGATGAGATTAAAATTGGTGGTATAGACTTGAGTGAATTAGACAGATTAACAGTGTCCTCAAAAGATGATGACAAATCTAAGACATCGGTGACCTCTAAATCACCTGTATCTTCGAAATCAATCTCGCTGACCAAGTTGTCAACTATACCTGAAACAAAAACTAAAAGAACATCTGCTTATGAACAGAAAAAAACCAAAGATGCAATGAAGCGACTTTCTTTGGCACTTGTTGAGCCAGAAAAGGGCAAATCACATCCAAGACGAAAAAGTGATATTGCAGATGAAGCTAATGATCACAATGGGATGGAGGAGAAAGTCGAATCTGAGCCAGCAGGACAAAAAATCAATATTTTCAAGAAAAAAATGTGGAAAAATAACAGACAGATGAAACAATTAGTCAACTCTAAAAAATTATCACTTCGATTGAAACAGTCACTTGACCAATGAATCGTATATATCCAACATGTTTCTAACCTCTCATCTTTCTTTGACATTGATATGAACATCAACTAACAGATTTTGTTTACCTAATGTTTACTTATTTTAAATCGCTTCCATGGTAATTAAAAAACAAATGTCCAGACTGTGTGTTCATGTTACAAATTTTAGTGAAAATTAATTATTTTTGCCACTTCCGTCTAATGATTACTTGACTACTTATTGCTTCATGGTCCTATACATGTATAATTATAATATAATTATACATAATTATAATATAATTATACATATAATATGTTGTGCAAAATCTGTACTATATTTTGTTACCACACCAAATTTTGGCAATATTTTTTAGAAATTTCCCTGGTTTGAATCAGAAAAAAATATTTAATTTTTATGTTCATGGGTGCATTAATTAAAACCACAAATCAAAATAAAAACACAAATATACGGAAAGTTGCTTGGAAATACTGTAGTAGTAGTAGTAGTAGTAGTAGTGCATGTACTTATGTAAGTCACCTTCTGAGGTGTTTCTATGGTCAAAAGAAGTATGATTCAGTAATATATCAGATGTGTTTTTTTGGTTTATATGCATTACTAGATCAAATGCAGTATTCTGTTTTTGAAAAATATTTTATTCATTCTGTTATGCATAAAACAACTTTGCATATGTGGTCATGCATGAATTATGATGTCAGCAAACCTACAAACTACTACTTCGATGAAAATCAGGCAATTTAAATTTCCACATATTCAATATGGGTCCCACACAATGTGTGTACATTATTGACTGTAGAATACTTTATTTTCGCCTGAAATTTATTTTCGCTAAAGGTATGATTCCATGAAAATAAAATCCAGCAAATATACTTTTTTTCCTATATTTCACATTAAACTCATCAAAAATCATTAACAAATAAATTCCATACAAAACGCCCAAAAAGCCTTTTCAGCAAAAATTAATTCCAGTGAAAATAAAGTATTTCACAGTACATGAATTCAAACCAGATGCGCAACAATTTAAAAATGTTGACACCTTTCTCAAAACAAAAAAAAAAAGAAAGAAAACAATGTCCACATTTGTTATAAACAATTTGTGTCAAATGTTGAACCAAAAATTTGGGTGGGAAAAATTTGGTACCAGTATTTAAACAGCTATTAAAAGGGTTGGTGGTCATTGTGACTGCATATTTGATATGGGTTCACATAACAATTCAAACACATTTGAATGTACATAGCTGTGATAATCACTACTCTTTCAATGAGTTTTAAGTTTGGACTGAGAAAAGACATAAGATATTTTGGACCTTTATTTGCTGGTATGTTCTATTCTCATTGAGTGTTGGTCAGTCGGAGGTGGTAAGAAACCATTACACTATTGGAAAAAAAAATTTCTAATAATAGTCTCTTATAAGATTGTTTGCTATGTTAGTGTTGCTTTGACAAAAGGAGCTATGTAGATAACTTAATATTTTTATTTCACTAGAAAATACAAAATTTGACAATCATGTGTATGCCACTTTCAATATTAATATATTGTGTTTTTCATTTCTACCACATATGACACATTCGTCCAGAATGTATAGTCTTTTCAGTTTCCATTCATATTTGTACATTTTTATTTATTTTTTTGCTAAGAGTTAGTACAATCAAGAGGTGTGTTTTTCGTTTTTATTTTCTGTAGAGGTATTTTATAATAACAGCTATTGATGTGAGTGTTTTTGTAAAGAGTGTTAAGCATAGTGTTAATAGTGAACAGGGAGGTCAAAGACAATAATTGTATTTACTGGGGCTGTATGCATCAACTAACAAAGTGCAATAAATTTGCAGTGTTTAATATGTGGCTATTTTGATTGGAAGAATGCTTGGATCATGAGACATAAATGTTATTTACAGACATTAATAGTGACCACGAAAATGGCTGCTGAAAAGGGAATTGGGCAGGAGAGGGGCAATCTTTTATCAAAAATTGTCTTTTTCCCCCACTTGTGTCACCACAAATTGCATAGTTTAAGTAAAATTTGTAGAGTCATCTCATTTTAAGGTCAGATTATTGTTTAGAAAAATTTCCGAAACACATGGTAGCTGAGACTCTGCCAATGTTGTTTCAAGCACAGGACTGTGGTTCAAGGTTGTGTCACTAGGGCCAATTATCTTTGTATTTTAGTGTTTGTGTGTATCCATCAACGATAGTTTGGGGAGCTCTTGCCTGTAAGCAATATGGAATGTCCACCGATGATATGTTCTATGAACAATAAATTGATCTATGCTGGGGTCTTAGCAGCTAAATTCATCCTGCAGTTACCCCCTCCTCCAGATGTTTCAGAACCTGTTAGGTTGTAGCTGTATCTGTGTCTTGTTCTGCCAATGTTATACAGCATCTGGTAGCAGGTTGGGCAGATGAATCGTTACATCTGATTTGTCCATGGGCATATTTGCCAACCCCCAAAATACAGAATACTCGTGTTGGTTTAAAGGCGCTTATATGACTAAGCTCAATCATCAGATACTTTCTTATATATGATGGGCAACATGAATGCTAACATGTTTCCAGTACATCTTGCTTGACAGATAATGACATGGTAATACTAATGCGTGTAATTGGCTCCTGGTGGATGAGCTAAAGAAGCTTGCTACCATAAGACCAACATAAAGGGTACAAATTGTTTGCTTGGAGATGTTAGCAATGCGAAAGATTATTCAGGAGCAGGATGCACACGTTTTCTAGTGGTTTGGGGGAAACAGTGAGCAGGCACTGTTGTGAAATCTGGTCTCTCTCAATTGATCAATGGTCTTTCTACAGGGAAATGCTTGAGGTCATGCTTTATATGTACTAGACAGAATTAGTTGCTGTTCCAACTAGGTATGTTTAGGTCAAAAGCAGTTGGTGTCCCCATTATGTATGTACTAGACAGGATTAGTTGCTGTTCCAACTATGTATGTTTAGGTCAAAAGCAGTTGGTGTCCCCTTTATGTATCTTCAGTTGTGAAGCAGTTGGTGTCTCAAATATCTATGTACTGGTCAAAAGCAGTTGGTGACCCCATTATGCATGTCCTGTTCTGGAGCAGTTGGTGTCCCCATTATTATACGTACTGGTCTGGAGCAGTTGGTTTCTCAAATATCAATGTACAGGTCAAAAGCAGTTGGTGTCTCAACTATGTATGTTCAGGTCTGGATCGGTTGGTGTCTCAACTATGTATCTTCAGGTATGGAGCAGTTGGTATCTCAACTATGTATGTACTGTTCTGGAGCAGTTGGTGTCCCCATTATGTATCTTCAGGTCTGGAGCAGTTGGTGTCTCAACTATGTATGTTCAGGTCTGGATCGGTTGGTGTCTCAACTATGTATCTTCAGGTCTGGAGCAGTTGGTGTCTCAACTATGTATGTTCAGGTCTGGATCGGTTGGTGTCTCAACTATGTATCTTCAGGTCTGGATCGGTTGGTGTCTCAGCTATGTATGTTCAGGTCTGACTCAGTTGGTGTCTCAACTATGTATGTTCAGGTCTGGATCGGTTGGTGTCTCAACTATGTATCTTCAGGTCTGGAGCAGTTGGTATCTCAACTATGTATGTACAGGTCTCGATCGGTTGGTGTCTCGACTATGCATGTTCAGGTCTCGATCGGTTGGTGTCTCAACTATGTATGTTCAGGTCTGGATCGGTTGGTGTCTCAACTATGTATGTTCAGGTCTGGAGCAGTTGGTGTCTCAACTATGTATGTTCAGGTCTGGAGCAGTTGGTGTCTCAACTATGTATGTTCAGGTCTGGATCGGTTGGTGTCTCAACTATGTATGTTCAGGTCTGGATCGGTTGGTGTCTCAACTATGTATGTTCAGGTCTGGAGCAGTTGGTGTCTCAACTATGTATCTTCAGGTCTGGAGCAGTTGGTGTCAACTATGTATGTTCAGGTCTGGATCGGTTGGTGTCTCAACTATGTATGTTCAGGTCTGGAGCAGTTGGTGTCTCAGCTATGTATGTTCAGGTCTGACTCAGTTGGTGTCTCAACTATGTATCTTCAGGTCTGGATCGGTTGGTGTCTCAACTATGTATGTTCAGGTCTGGAACAGTTGGTGTCTCAACTATGTATGTTCAGGTCTGGAGGAGTTGGTGTCTCAACTATGTATGTTCAGGTCTGGATCGGTTGGTGTCTCAACTATGTATGTTCAGGTCTGGATCGGTTGGTGTCTCAACTATGTAAGTTCAGGTCTGGATCGGTTGGTGTCTCAACTATGTATGTTCAGGTCTGGATCGGTTGGTGTCTCAACTATGTATGTTCAGGTCTGGATCGGTTGGTGTCTCAACTATGTATGTTCAGGTCTGGATCGGTTGGTGTCTCAACTAAGTATGTTCAGGTCTGGAGCAGTTGGTGTCTCAACTATGTATGTTCAGGTCTGGATCGGTTGGTGTCTCAACGCCCTGTGGTGGCGCACTTTACTCAATGAGAAGTTGGGGGTTGGTTGTCTTCTTCCGCCGTTTCTTTGTAGCCGTATATTGCTGAAACTTCTCAAGCTCGCTGGAGGCTATGAGAACCACCGATCACATTGATCTGAAATTTGTTTCTTAGCATCTATATGTATAATGTTCACGAAAGTATGTGAAGTTTTTTTGTGATTGGTCACGTGGTTTCGTTTAAATCTTTAAAGGGCGACATTCATCGCGTTGCGTCCTGTTCGATATGGGACTCATAGCAACGTATACAACGCGTGTAAAACACATTGTTTATTTACATGTCGACCACCGCGCTTTAATTACTTCTGAACAGACAGTTTTGTTTACTGAGCCCACATTTATCCGAATATTTAGAATTTTGTTATATTGTCTTATTTAGACAGCAAACATATAATACGCGATGCGACGACCAGCGCCCTTTAATTTTCCAGTGATTTCTCTAGGTGCAATCTAAATACAGTAGGTGTGTCTTGTTTACCTGAGAGTTGTAAGAGTTTGAGCTGGCCAACATGTTAGTTTTTTTCATATGGTTGATTACTTGCATGTTGATTTCCCATTTTTGAGCCATGTTTTCAACTTTTTTCATCATTTTCATATAGCAATCTCGTCATATGTTAACATTGTCGTCTATGGAAATTCAATTAGTGGTATGAGCCCTGAAAATTAATCAACTTGCTATTTTCCATGTATCATGTATGATCAAAACATCATCTGAGAAAAATAACATATAATGAGGTTACATATTAAAGCAGCAATAGCTGTGAATATATATATATTTTTAAATATAACCGGATATTATATAATAGAGATGACTAAATCTTGCCGAAATACTGTTTTAGATACAATTGCAAGGTCAAAAGTGACCTACACACGGCTATATCACATAAAATGCATTGTGAAAACCAACGGTCGAGTAGACGTCATCCGGGTGGAATCGGTTTACGTGATGGAGACTGTAAAAAATGATGACATACGACGCACTCTTTTATGAGAAGTGAAACATACAATCGTCATAGCGACGTATTTAACATGATTTTGACGAGGGTAACGTTGTCAACGTAATCCCCGAGTTTTGCTTGAAACTGGATTTTAATAGACGGCGCCCTCTGGAGACCCTGTCTTAGGTCAAGTGGCCTTCTGTTTTTATTCGATTTAATGTACAACTTTGGTATATTAGCGCATATGCTATTAACATAATTACCAATCACGAGTTTCACAGTCGCTTACTAGTTGCAGTATCGTTTTATGTTTGAATTATTATGTACTCACAAAGTAATTACCCTCCAAAAGTGGGTATCATTTTTTGGCTAAACTTAGTTGCAAACTATTTCCTTAGCGTGTCTCTATTCTGTGCTTTTGCTGACACTCTGGCTCGGCGTGTAATCTTTGGTTTTACATATCGTAAAAATGTTTCGTGAGATTGGATTAAATTCCGATATAGATGATCTGGTATATCTGACCAATCGGCTTCGTGGAATATACGTTGTTATAAGTTTTTTTTTTTTTTTTTTTTTTTGCTTTTTTGAGATGCCTCGATTAAGGTTAAACATATGCCTGCCATGTTACCGTGGAACCGGCAGCTTGATTTTGTTGGGCGCCACTTACGATATGAAGATATGAATTAATTTTTATTGAATTAAAGGCGCAATATTAAAATTCAGACAAATTTATTCATCGTGGATTTAATTAGTTTAACCAGTGTTCCCATTCTAACACAATATGATCAATATCTGTTGATCTTGATCTTGAAATAATCGCCAATCGGACGAATTGAAAGTTTCCATTTTGGTCACGCTCATCGTAAATTTTGTCCAGATCCCTGTTTTTAATCCCAACCGTTTAGTCATAATTGTCACAACACGTCAAGTTTATATACAGTACATTGCCAATATTTAATAATTAATGTGACGAGGAGTACATTGTGAGCCAAAATTCCAGACCAGAATAACCAAGATGTAGTATTCTATGACGTACTCATCACGTTATACTCGATACACCTAAAACGAACACATATCGCAAAAAATATTAACTTAAGATGAATTCGACAAAAGGAACAAGACTATGTAAATGTGTATATAAGATCAAAATACTGACATGGAAATTAAACTTGCCGATCACTCGAGTTTTGGAGAGTTTCTTTTTTATTAACATATATTTAGCCCAGTGTGAAACCATAAAATATTTACAATATACAAAGTTGTATAACTGTATAAATACGATTGTCTTCAACGCCATACAGAAATATTGATATAATTATATATATTATATAATGTTCATATTACTGACGTGTACTCGTAAATGCCTTATGATATAGAACTCAAATCTACCTCGAATTGATACTAGCTTTGATTCGCATATTTAAAAAAAAGAAAACCATAAATATATTTACGATATATCAGTGTGTCTGACGTCACGTCACGTCACGTCACAGCACATCATATCATATCAGAAAAAACACATGACTGGCATTGAGCAATCATGAATGCGCTGTTGAACAGCCACTTACTCCACGTCATACTGGAGGCAGTGCGGAAATTTATGAAAGCAATTTGGTTTAACGGATTTTGGTCGGAAATATACATTTTCATCCAGGAATTTCCAACTGACACGTATTTCCGACTACGTCATCACCAGCCTTTACTGCACAATAGCATAGTATTGGTAGTATTGTCAATGTTCGAAAATTCACTGTCGTTCAATGTAAAACAGCGACAACATATTTGAACACGTAAAAGAACTCAAATGTGATCTGTGAGATGTAGATATCAAACAGGCGTGTTCAATTACTGATATTACTTCCACCGCTGAAGTTACACCAAACTATGTTATCATGTTGGATATACAGTCACTCACTAAATACGATAAACTTTAAGGTCAGCATCAACGTGTTTCTCAACTCCAACGTCAAACAAAATTTTATAATTGTATTTAGACATTCGGGAATTCCGGCGTATTCTAATATATCGCTGTACCTGTGTGTGTATCAATGTCCAAGAACTATCTCTAAAAATACATTAAATTAAATTATTTTTAACTCACTCATTATATGTGTTACGTCAATTTTAATCTAAACTGATATGTGTGCGCAATCAATCGAAAATTCAATCAAAATATCCTCGTATAAATAATGCACGGTAAATTTGGCGAAAAATCAACTACCAGAATGACCGAACGATTTATCTCACTCCACCCCCTTCGAATTAACAAAAATATGTGGACAATAAGGATGATTTCGCCAGATTAATCTGTCCCACTCCTGGCAACAATACATACGGCATTAGGTAGTAATAACATAATAATATGAACTATGTATATAAGAGAGAATTAGTTATGGCGTTTTAAATAGACGTTGTAGACGAAGTAATACTTAAAGTCCGGTTTGGGCGTGGTCATTATATTGTACGCCATGAACTACCCATCATAAAATAATACATGTAGCACTTTTGGGAATGTTCGTTTTGTTTATACGATCTTTTTCATTGCACTCACTCTCAGCTTTGTAGTCGTTCAGAAGTCTCTTAGAATTTTGTAACTCTATGATATTTTGAGAATTTCTAATGTTTCCATTTCGCTCGGCATCTTCTTGGCTATCGTCGACAATCCTATTAGATTGTAGCGGGGGAGATTTGATCCGATACTGGGAGTCCGATCGGTTATATTGTTTCGTTTCTCTCTCCTCCACTGATCGTTGTTCAAGACTCGTCCTAGAGTCGGCATCGTCGCCGTCTGGGACGTTATTCAACTGGACATCTTCTTGTTCAGTGTCACTCATATCGTCGGATTGTCTGTTCTTAGTTTGTTGGCCGGAACTTGTACCCATTGACGCTATGGGATGAACACTTCTTTTGTAATCCATGTTTATGTTGTGACGCTCAAACTCCTTCAGTCTTTCTCGCTCCAACTCAGCCTCTTGCTCTAGCTCCGTCATGGTAAGTCCTTTGTCGTCAGCGCCCTCAACGTCTGTAAAATTCACCGGAGTGTATTCAGCCGATAAAAATGACGATGCCGAACTTCGGCGATGTGGATTGTTCTTGTTACCTAGGGCGGTTTTCGGAAGAGTGTGCGAATTCGCGGATGACGACCTTTCACGAAAGTCTTTTCCATCTAAGATCGTTTTTATACGATCTGAAAAGACACCATCCATACATTGTGAATCCGAGTCAATTTGTTTTGGAACGGCCGACATTGGGAAACCATGTTGGTATTCTTCTGAATTTCTCCGTGACCTATTTACTTCTTCATCATCTTCAGACGCACCTAGCTCCATCACACTGGCGGCGTTTCTCGTTGTCTGTTCTGGTGTATCTGTCGTAGCGTCTTTGTTACCCACAGATCCAGATTTGCGACGTTTCCCCAGTAACCAATATGTTTTCATTTCTCCTTTACCCTGTGTGAAAAGAAAAAAAAAACATCACTGTCATCATCGTCATCATCTTCATCCCAATCACAATCATAATTCTTAAATATATACCTTAATCTCAAGCGATCCCCTCAGTGTAGTTATATAAGGGGCGTGTGCAAGATAATCCTTGGTGGTTTGGCTCATGTGTATTTTCATCGTATCTCCACTGGTCTCCATCCTCGATGCGCAGTTGACGGTGTCTCCAAACAAACAATACCGCGGCATCTTCAAACCAACGACACCAGCGACAACCATCCCGGAGTGTATACCTAATAAATACGTACCAATATGTAAGATACATCAAGACAAGTTTTCATCATGTGCGCTAAATGGTTACGGTGCCCGAAGTCCCGAGAAACTCACCGATTCTGACTTTCATGGTGTCAGACGAGGAAGGATCTCTCAACTCTTGCATACACTGCACCATACCCAGGGACATGTCCGCAATGTGTTCAGCGTGGTATTTAGTTTTAGTGGGAGCTCCTGAAACGACCATGTAGGCATCGCCAATAGTCTCCACCTTGGAAGGAAAGAACGGTATGTTACCAGAAGAAGCTATAAACATGTACATGTGGCGTCGCAGGCGGAGGCGTAAGTCACTTTAATTTTTTTACCATAACAAATTAGCGGGAGTTTCCCTTTCCAGAAAAATACAGTCAATGTATGGTACTGTAGGCATTTCTTTATAAGTCGCACTATCTAAGGGGTTCTGTGACTTGTATGGATGAAAGCAATGTCGCTCAAAGCAACAGCTGCGTTTGTTTGTGTAGTCATTCGTAAATTAGAATGTGGCAAATCGACTGAATTTTCATTGATATAACAACAATGATTTTGTGAGCAACCTTCCTTCCAACCATTTCCGTCAAAGAAGCTTTTCATCCACTGGCAATTGAGGGCGCTAATTATACATAAGAAAGGTGGACAAAATATTCATAACTCATAACGTGTTGGCAATCGTGTTTACCTTGTAGACCTGGTGTTGTTCTGTAAGCTTATCAAATTTACTATACATGGCATTCAGCATGGAAACCACTGCCATGGGCGTGATCATGGAACATATATGCGTAAACCCCACGACATCACTGAAGAGAATAGTAACATCTTTGAACACCTGTGGAACATAGAAAATATAGCGGATAGTGGGAAAGTATATACTATTATTATACATCTGTCACCGTAACGCCGTCACCGTAAGTTATAGCGTGCCGTAATTTTACGGGGTATTTTTATCCTACCATATAAGGAAAGCGAATTCCAAATGTGGAACGAATACGCGCATAAGCGTATTCTAATAATAAAAACAAACATGGCTGCCATAAGGGTTTGACCCGTGGGTTTGACCGGGCTCCACACAAAGAAGTTCGCTGATTTTGTTCCAAACTTTTTGGATTTCGGCATCCCCATGATGTATCTTTGGAAGAAAAAGATGTATAATAATAAAGTTAGACAGTACACCGTCGCATCGACCTCCGCTGTGCGTCGGTCGACACAACCGCTGTACTGTCTTTGTGCATGCTTTGAGGTATCCTCGTAATAATCTCATAGTATATCGAGTTTGCACTCAATTCTCATGATATCACAGCGAGTAATACCCCCAATAAGATACAAAATACAATACAGAATGGGGAAAGGATTGTGGACTCCAAGATCCACATAAATGCATGCTTAGACATTCCAAAAACTACGAGGTCGTCCTGTCCCACGTGTGTTGTCCACTACTTGCAATAGGGGGGAATGTTAACGCGCCATGGTAAGGAAGCCTTACCTCACAGGTACTCAGGGCCGGTTCCCCTCTTCGAAGTCGCTCCGCTACTTGTCTAGGTATCATCTGGTACAACAAGGAATCAGTTCTTTTCATCTCGATGTCCAACTTTTTCATGCTTTCCTCCAATTTGGCACTTTTTCTTTGCTCCTGTCGATGATTAGACACAAACAAGAGGTTATCGCTATTGTGTGCATTTCTTTGAATATATGTAGTTTTCACGCGTTGTCATATTACGTCGCATGTGACCAATATCTACAGTGGCGCTTTAGTAAATAACTAAGTGACTTACTACAATATTATATTGAATTTTATTAAACAGGTGACTATATATTATTCGTCAAATATTATATATTATTGGCCCAATATGGACGTCTGTGCTCGAAAGAAAGAATGACAAATGTTCGTTTTGCGCAAGCACTTCACTGGAGAGCAAAATGCCCCGGATGTACGTATTACTAGTATCGAATTTGCATGAAAGTGAAGGCTTGTAAAAAACAATAAACTAGGAAACATTACTTTAAAGCCAATTCAAATAATGCGCTCATGATATCAATATTTTTTTTTTCAATTTCCAGTATGGTTGTTTTGTGTTTTTAAAGTCAACCAGTTTCAAAACAAGCCGTATTCAAAGACCACATGCACCGTGACGTGTAGTTCGAACATACGTTGCGTTTGCTTACCCCGCCCAGGGCGTCGCGGGCCGGCAAGACAGT